CCTTCCCTCTCCCTCTCCCTTCCCTTCCCTTCCCTCTCCCTCTCCCTCTCCCTTCCCTTCCCTCTCCCTCTCCCTCTCCCCCTTCCCTTTCCCCTCTCCCCTCTCCCCTCTCCCCTCTCTCCCCTCTCCCCTCTCCCCTCCTCCCTTCCTTCTGAGAAGTAATGCAAAACCCCTACTGACGTCTTTAGCACCGGCACCAACGCAACAACCTGCTCCCCCGGCGCATTCTACATCCGCTCCATGCTTCAATCAACCGACTCTCTCCCCCTCAACATAGGCATAACCGGCAAGGGCAACGACAGCGACCCCCTCGCGCTCCGCGAACAGGTGCTCGCCGGTGCCTGCGGCCTCAAGCTCCACGAAGACTGGGGCTCGACACCCGCTGCCATCGACTCTTGCCTCTCCGTCTGCGACGAGCTCGACGTGCAGTGCCTCATCCACACCGACACGCTCAACGAATCCGGCTTCGTCGAGTCCTCCGTGGCGGCCTTCAAGGGGCGGACTATTCATACGTATCATACGGAGGGCGCCGGCGGCGGGCACGCTCCGGATATCATTCGCGTCGTGGAGCACCCGAACGTGTTGCCGTCTAGCACAAACCCGACCAGGCCGTACACCAAGAACACGTTAGACGAGCACCTCGACATGATGATGGTCTGCCACCATCTCTCCAAGGACATCCCCGAGGACGTGGCGTTCGCGGAGTCGCGCATCCGCGCGGAGACCATCGCTGCTGAGGACGTTCTGCACGATTTGGGCGCCATCAGCATGATGAGCTCGGACTCGCAAGCCATGGGCCGGTGTGGAGAGGTTGTATTGCGCACGTGGCATACCGCGCACAAGAATAAGCTGCAGCGGGGGCCGTTGAAGGAGGATGAGGGGACGGGAGCGGATAACTTCAGGGTGAAGCGGTACGTGAGTAAGTACACGATTAACCCCGCGCTGGCGCAAGGCATGGGGCATTTGATTGGGAGTGTGGAGGTGGGCAAGCTGGCCGATTTGGTTCTTTGGGAGCCGGCTTGGTTTGGGACGAAGCCGGAAATGGTCTTGAAGGGTGGTTTTATCGCTTGGGCGCAGATGGTGAGTCTCCCTTGCCCTTCCATTTCGCTTTATTCTACATTCTGACAAAGTCCTAGGGCGACCCCAACGGCTCGGTCCCCACTATCGAGCCCGTCATCGCGCGCCCCATGTTCGCGTCCTACCTCCCGGGACACGCGAGCGTGGCGTTTGTGTCGCGAGCGTCGCTTGAAAATGGCACGGTGACAGAGTATGGCCTCAAGAAGAGGGTTGAGCCCGTGAAGGGCTGCAGGACGGTGAGTAAGCGGGATATGAAGTACAACGATGCCATGCCCAGGATGAAGGTCGATCCGGAGAGGTATACGGTGGAAGCGGATGGTGTGGTTTGCAAGGCGGAGCCGAGTTCAGAACTGCCGATGGCACAGTTTGCTTATGTATTCTAAGGAGGAGAAGGGGGTGTTTGGGTGGTTGGGGGGGGGGGGAGGGAGGAGGGGGGAGGAGGAAAGTTGTAATGTGCGTTAATCATGTTGAAGTTCAGCGTAAGTTCCTTTCTTCAGTGTTCTTGAACGTTATATGAAGATAATTTTCCCGGGGGTGAGATTCAAGGGCACCGTTCCCCTCACCAAAGTCTTGTGGTTAGTGCTCTGGCTTTGCTACAGCAGAGACTCAGGTTCGCCTTTGTATGATAGGAAAAGTGTTGTCTTACACAGTGCCTGGATCTGCGTAATGTGAGATGAGCCTTGAGACGATCAACTACATATACTTCAGCCAGTCATTTACCTTTGTCCCGTCTACCATACTGACAGATAGCACTCGCTAGTATACCTCACAGTTTTAAGTGGGTTGGAAGCAACAATGGGAGACGGCCCTCTATCTATATAATTTAGTAAAAAAACAAAAAAAAAAAAACATGGTTCATGGGAAGGGATTCGAACTAGAGGAGCATGCCTTGGCTTAACCATGATTAGGATTAGGCCTGGCTGCTAAGAAACTGAAAACGGCCACTCAGCTCCAAGAAGCCTGCTACCCTTGGAATGTTAGCAAGGACAACCGAGGAAACCCCGAGTCTTGACACATTCTCTTCTGGAGGTCGTCGGGTTCCAGGCCTCTCCTGATCTGGTGGGGCAATTAACTGATCGGAACGGTTGACTCCTTGCATGACTTTGTCCGGGTCTTGTAAAGTCTCTCTCTCTCTCTCTCTCTCTCTCTCTCCGAATTTAGTCGTGACCGGAGCATGCTATAATATCAAGATCGTGTATCATAAGATCGCGTATCACTTCATACTTGGCTAGTGGGTTTATTTTTTTTTCGACGACCTTGCTAAGGCGAGGACTTCTTGTTTAGAGAGCTATAGAAAAGTTAAGAGAAAAGAAAGGCGCGCGAAGGAGGGAGGGGGGGAAGGGAGAGGAGGGTTGAATCCCTGTGAGAACGACGCGACGTCTGTGCTCCAAGAAGTTGATTGGGGAAAGAGAAGTAGAACCTTGTAGCTGTTGTTAGTCCACTACGGAGGGTTTCTGACGCCATTGAGTTAGACATAGAAGTGGGTGTTCGATCACTAAATAACACTGCGTTAGGCCGTTTCATTGAGCGAGTGAGGCGTTAGAGTTGTCAAAGGCGGGTAGTTGGCAGCCCCGGAGGGAAAGCTATAGGCCAGTTTAGGCAGAGTGTCAAGAGATAAACAGGCGGATTTTTTGCCTTATACCTGCAATGTCCCTGTTCCTGTTGCATGAATGTTTAACTGGCCCGAAGAACTGGGAAGTGGGTGTAGTGGGCAGAAAAGCGTACCTGAAGGCTGAAGGGGGTTTATTTTCGTTCCTAAAGGGTAGAGAAATCCAAGAGACACAAAAATTGTTGGTGCAAGGTCGGCTCCCTCTCCTCAAGGTTCTGGGCTTGTGTGAGCATGTAATTAATGGTTGGCGACAGGCAGGCTTGTGTAACCCAAGTGACGGCTGGCCAGTCACAGGGACCAGGCCGGACAAGAGAGCTGGCTATTAGGCGAGACACAGTAATCCCAAGGGCAAGACGGCATATTGATCACAGGGCAAAAGACATGAGGCTCTAGTTATTGGGTTACAAGCCATGGTACCTATGACAGTCCAACCAAGCATACCTTTCAAGTCCCAGCTTATCACATCATGATCAGAGAGATCCATTTCATAGTGAGTACAAAGAGAGCACACACACACACACACATTCAAAAGCACAGGAAACAACAATCAATGCTCACAAAACAATCCCATTCATAATACTCCCAATACCACACAGAAAACAACCAGTTACATACAGCCATACCCAGTCAACCAACACGCCAGACAAATCATTTCCCGTCCACCATGACTGTCCAGAAGAAGAAAAGATAAGAGTCATGATTCTCACCGAACCATCACCAATGGCCGCCCTCCTCCTTTCGTGCTGTTATCAGTGTCCTAGGTTGGTGAACTACTATACCACCGAGTCCGTTTTCGTAAAAGAAAAAAACAAAAGCCGAAAACCAACCGACCGCCCGCTTCATGATGAGAAATGCCCGACGCGCCGTCCGTCAAAGCCCTGGTTACCGTAGCTAGGTACATACACGATACACCTGCACCTCCAGTAGGGAGGAAGGGGGGTATCAAATAGTAGATGAGGATGATGCAGAGAGGGAGGTATCATTAAGGATGAAAACCCGAGTCATGAAAACAAGTTGAGAAAGAGACACAGAGAGCATACACTTTTCACTCCCGTGAAAGCTTAACCGCTCTTGCTCTTCTTACGACTCGACTTTTTCGGCTCCTCGACCTGCTCAGCAGCCTTGGATACGCGCTTGCGCTTCTTGGTCTCGGGGCTGGCGGGCGTGGCGGCGGCGCTCTTAGCGTCCGTCGCGGGCTCGGCCGCCGGGGTCGGCGCGGCGGGAGTCGCCATGCTCTTCCGCTTATTGCGAGTTTCCTTCTTCTTAGGGGTCTTGCTCGCGGGAGCCTGCTCCTCCTCGGCCGAGGGGGCCTCTTCCTCAACAGAGGCGGGCTGTTCCTGCACGGGGGCGGCCTGCGCGGCAGCCTGGGCATGGTTCTGGGTCTGCTTGAGCTGCTCAGCGATCGCCTCTTGATCGTTCTGCTGCTGGTTCAGCTCCTCGGCGTGCGCCAGCGGCGGCATGGGAATGTTGTGCTGGTCAGCGTAGATGCGGGCCTCCTCATCGGTCATGTTCTTGGCGTTCATGTTGCCGTGCTTGTAGGCGTGCACGCGCGCGTTGTACAGTCGCAGATTGTACTGATAGGCCTGGTTCCAGCCCAGCTTCTCCTGAGGGCTCATGACAGACCAGCGGCGCTGGCCCTCATCCTGCACGGCACCCTTGGGGCAGTTCTCGCCCAGGTCGGCGGCGATGATGGGGCGGGCAGTCTGCATGTACAGGAAGTAGGGGGTTAGGGGGCGCTTGGGGGCATTGGGGTCGTGCTGACGCTTCTTGCGCTCCTTCTTCTCCTCGACGACCGGCTGGGGCTGCGGGACAACAGCCGGCATGAGGTTGGTGATGGAGGAGGCGATGCGATCCAGTTCGTTGCCATTTTCAATGGTGGTGCCCTCGCCAATGAGCAGGTTGGTCTGGCGCAGATAATCCTGGGAGAAGCTCCTAATCAAGTCCTGAATAGTCTGCAGCCGCTGGTAGACCTGCAAGGTGTTAGCAATGTTTGTGCAGATTGAAGCCGAAGCTACATTATGTTCTGGCAATGTTGTATGTTGTGTTTTGTAAAAGCGAAGCGTAATTACGCGTTTGCGTATATATATATATATATGTGTGTGTGTGTGTATGTGTGTGTTTTATTGTTTGGGGGAGGGGGGGGGTATCATGGAAATGGAATGGGAGACTTACTGAATCCCTGACGCGGATGAACTGGGCGACATCGATGACGGGAGTCTGCTTGAGGTTGAGAGCTTGGGGCGCGACGGCCATGGGCTGCTGGGGGATCTGGTGGTGGACGGCGGGGGCTACGGGCACAGGAGCCGGCTGCGGCTCGACAGCAGGCTGCTTGTTCTTAGGAGGGCGCGGCATGGTTGGCAGTAGTAGACGATTTTTAGTGGGAATGGCGCACTTGGCTGGCGTTGATCAAAGAGACCTCGCTGGGGCGGTATATAAAAACAGTGGATGAATGCGCTGTTGTGGTTGCGATGCTTAAGTCAAGTGGTGCAGTGAATTAAAGGCCCAAGGAGGGTTGGGGATCAAAGCCAAGCGCTGAAAGCCTAAAAGAGGGGAGGGGGGCGGTGGGAGTGGTGAGGGGGGGGGGAGACACTGCAAGAACGGAGAGAGCAGGAGGAAAAATTCGTGACGAATTTTGGGGGTTGGCGGGGTAAGGCAAAATTATAGGCGTGGCGCTGGGAAGGGGAGCCAGTGCTGATTTAGCGGGTGACTTGGGGCTTGGGCTGGGTGGGAGCGAGAAAAAAAAATTGGTGCAGGCCAAAAATCGGCGCTCAGTGCTGGAGGGTCCCAGAGCCCAGGACCTGACCGGAGTGCCTGATTTGAGTGGTCAACAAAAAAAAAATCAGATCACGCGCACCACACGCCCAACTGCCGGGGTGTCTGAGGAGCCTGATCCACTCGCAACGTCCACTGCGCTCACTGACTGGCCCGCTGGCAGCCTGGCCAGGGCTCACGGTGCACACCCGCGCAGCACAGCTCCTCTTTCTCGGGTGCCCTCGCAGCCCTCTCTGGCCTGTCCTCTCTGGCTCCAGGGTGAAAAACTGCGCAGCGCTGGACCTGGCGTTGACGCAATCACGGGCCCTGCTCTGGTTTGGCGTCGCTGGCTGGCTGGCTGGCACGTACCTGTTTGCTGATTTGTCACCCGTCGACAGCGGCCTTCCAGCTGCTCTCCCCCGCTGGGCAACTGCTCTGATGCTCCTGTCCTCGGCGCTCTGCCTTTACAGTGAATTGGAATTCCAACTCTTAGGCACCAACTGCTGATAAGCTGCCTTTCGTGTTGCTCCCCGCACTCTGCACCCATCACAGCCCAGTAATCAAGCAACCGACCAGATTCTCGTAATTCAATCCACCACTATTCTTGAGTGAAGTGACCCAGCTCCAAAACACAATCCAACGTCTCATGGTGTGACAAGACTCCAATCACCACTCCTCTCGTCTCTCTTCGCCATCGCCTATTTCATCCAGCCCAAGGATACTTTTCAACCATACCTGAGTGAACATCTGAGAAACCTACTCTTGTAGTTGTGTCCACATTCGCTCGTTTAATGGCAGAATTAGAATCGAGCTCTGGGGTGCTGATTTGTCAAATCCCAGCTTTTGATCATCAGTGGTGTTGCACCACTGGCTCGCTGGCTCGGAGAAATGCTCGGCGTTGAGGCGAACCTGCGGTCCTCACTGCTTGCTTGGCCTTTTGGCGCTGCAAAAGGCTGTGCCCACGCCCGGGAAGAAGTCAATCCTGTTCCGAAGGGCGGCAGCAGCAGGGGGGGGTGGGGGGGGGGGCTCGTCGGCAACTGTTCGGAGCAGCGTGAAGCACTTCGGGCCTGACAGCTCGGCAACTTTCAGCGCACAGGACGCCCAACCTCCCAGGTCTAGGTCCTGGGCCTGGGTCATGGTCAAGCGTTTCAGAATGACAGGCACCCTCCTCAGTGAGCGGTTCAAGCTAAAAAAGACTCACAGCAGTCCCTTCCCACCAAACACTGGCTCTGGAACAAAAGGCGACCCTGTCATCGGCAGTGGGATTCCCAGGCCAGCAGCCAATTTCCCGCTGAACTGCTGTGACGGAGAGAGCAGCTATCACCAGCGCCTGTCTACCCCGCGTCTTCCGAACGCTTCCCAGCTCGAGTCCAAGTCCCCATCCAGGTCACCAGACAGCTGGCTGGGCATTGGCTCATCTCTGCCAACAGCACCAAGTCCTCTCAATGGAGTTTCGAACTCGGAGCCAAAGCAGGTCCTCGTTCTGATAACTTGGACCCAAATTCGAAGATGTATCGCTTGCACCTAACCCGTATGGAGCGCTCTTGACACTGGGCCTGCCAGACCGGGCCGTATCCGAGGGTAGCCGTGGTTGTAATCTGTTGACAGCATGGCACTTCAAGGTCACTGTGTGCATCTTAAATCTTTCATGGTGCAGAATGCTGAGCAGAGGTAGCTACGTTGTCGATCTAGGCACTCGGCAAGCCATCGAGCCAGCACGTCTCAAGCCTCTTACATGCGTAATGCGTCTCCAAGTACCAAAGGGTGCTGTAACTATACCAAATCCCGAGGATTTACTTCTAGCAACAGTATATCTGAAGTCACCGGCTCGGATCAATCGAGTGCTCAAGCCTTGATCAGGCCAGCAAAAGCCTGACAAATGCCCTGTCCGGAGAGCGTAACACAACAGTGTTACCAGCTTCTAGCAGACGCGTCCAGCGTCAAGCCGATACAACACTGTACGGAGTAGGATACGGCCCGTGCAACTATACAGGCGCCTGCAGAAAAGGCAACCACGTCGACATGCAGTGCCAGAGCACTTGTTGGCTACCGTTCATTTGTTAAGGAAAAAAAAAGTTTCCAGCGCAGAAGATGGCACAGCTGAATGCCGGTGCAGTTGTCGCTATGGGTGTGGAGCGGCTGCGTCAACCCCATTCGCTTTTTGTTTGTCAAAAAGTCTGTCTTCAATTGAGGAGGTGAATGTTTTTTTTAAAAAAACAAAAAACAAAAAAACAAAAAAAACAAAAAAAACAAAAAAAACCAAAATCAAATCGATATGGCTAAGAATCTCAATGATTCAAACTTGCCGTGCTATCGACAGCAATACTTACTGTCCTCACTGTATATATCACTGCTATCATGATGCCGTAGCTTAATTATCACGGTCCCAATCAGCACGGCGTTATCAACGGCAAACCGCTCGCACCCGGTTCGGCCGTGATCAATCCGCCCGCCCGCTCACTCGCCAGGGCATGACAAACAGCAGAGAGCCTTTAAAAAAAAAAACAAGAGGAACCCTGAAAAGCTGGCACACTGGCGCACAACCGGGCGATTCGCATCCACAACCCGGCAAATCTGAAGCACCATCCAGCCCACCCACCCCTTGTCAAACCTCCAACCAATCAGGCTTCCTTCCAAACCCAGAAGAGCCGAGGAGTGGGGCACCTCACCTTTGTGACAAGACGAAACCCTGGACCCACCCGCTTCTGTCCTTGGTCTGAGCTGGGAATGCCCCGGCCAGCGGCGGGCAGGGACCCTGGACAGCTACCGCTGCAGCAACAGCAGCTGGTGCCCCTCCCCCTCCTTTGGCCGCTGACTGAGAATCGTGTTGTGGTTGGGCGGGCGAAAGATGACCCCGCCTTCAGTCGTGCCCCGCGAAGAGGAGAGTTGAGTGGTTGGTGCTTGGCGTCTAGGTCTGGGTTTGTGAAACTTGGAATCACAGCACTGCTGTGTATGGGATGGAGGACGAGGGAGATGGGGTTGGATGCCGAGGGGTTTGACTGTACCGTAGATGAGAAACTCGTTTTGTAAGAAGGGAAGGACATAAAAGAAGAGATCGGGTTGCTTTCTTGACTCGAGTCGAAATCGAGTTGGTCGATAGAAAGAAAAGAGAATCCATAACAAGAGCGAGTCACCGCTGAAACAGCAGATCCAAACAAGATCCAGGGGGCCGCGTGTCGCATCCTCCATCCGAACCCATCACGAACCCACAGGCGGCTTGGTTCCGATCTAACGATAGGCCGGCGCTGGTACCATCTTCGATCCACGATCCATACGCCGGGCAGCGGAGGGAGCCCGCTGATGCTGCTGCGTTGCCGGGTGCTGACTGGGGTCTGGTTCTCGTAACTTAAAGTCTGCTGCTGACTTTCCGATCCCCCTTCCCTTCCCCGCACCCAGCACTAGACTCTTGTCTCTTGTTTTATTTCCTTTGATTTCTACTCCTGAATCTGACCTTAGCCTCTTCCGTTTCTTCTCCTTCTCCTTCTTCTTCTTCCTCTCCTCCTCCTTCTTCCTTTCTTCATCAACATCTATCTGCGACTGCTTGCCCACGCAACCACTTCACTCTCCAAAAGCTAGCCATCCACCACCATGGCGACCCTCAAACCCTTCTCGTCGTTCTTGATCGGGCTGCTCCTCTTCTTCTGCTTTGTCCGCCCGACGCTTGCGTTCGGTGCTGGAAACATCGCTAGTATCTCTTCGGTTGAGGGGCAGAACTGTAAGTTCCCTTCCTCTCCTCAACTTTCCCCATCCCCCAACCTGCTCCCTAGAAGGTAGTAGAGCACGTGCTGACCATTACATAACAGGGCGCCACGGCGATATCGAAGATGCCCTCCTCAAGATCGTCATGGCACGCGCCGTCGGCGGCCAGCGCTTCGACAAGCTGATGGTCGCCCGCGTCTACTTCGGCAACTGGCTGCGCGACTACTCACAGGCGATCGATATCGGCACGGTCAAGTTCGTCTCGGCCGAAGCCATCCGCCTGCTGCTCTGCATCCTGGGCTTCCTCACCTTCGGCTACGGCTCCCGCGAGTTCGAGGTCACCGCTGAACGACTGGGCTGTTACAGGCCTGAGGATCATATTGACAATCCGAAGGGGTATGGCGAGGGCCAGGATCCAAGGCAGTATGATCCTAGACTGAGGGGCCCTGTGGATGAGGAGACAGAACTTGCGATTGATGAGGAGACGGGAATGAAGAATTATATCGCGAATGAGAAGATTGGGATTATGACCAGTGCGAAGCACGTGAGGAATTTGTTTGGGAAATGTATCGAGCTGGGACGGGAGTACGGGCGGAGTGGGAATAAGGATGATTTGTATGAGGCGTTGAGGCTTCTTGGGACGGGGCTGCACTGCTTGGAGGGTGAGTCTTCTTCATGATGATGTCGATTGACGAGAAGTTGGACTGACGGGTAGCAGACTTCTTCGCCCACAGCAACTACACCGAGCTGGCGCTGATTGAGCTCGGCGAGCGCGATGTCTTCCCTCATGTCGGCCGCAACACCAAGCTTAGGATTCCTGGTACCCGCGGCTCCGTCTACCCCATTGTTACTGGTACCTTTGGAGGTGTTGACTTCCTACATTCTGTCACGGGCGAGGGTAAGCAAAAAAAAAAACAGCCCCCCCTTCCTCCTCCTCTCCCAAATTATCCAAATCACGGGTTGTTTATGGGAAAAAAAAAGAGAAAAAAAAAGAAAAGATTCTGACAGTAAAGCAGTCTCCGATAAAATGATCCAATCCGAAATCGACGACCTCGAAGGCATGATGAAGCAGTATAAGAACGGCGACACCAGCATCCTTCGTGACCTCCTCGACAAGATCCCCGACGGTCTCATCGGCGGTAAGAAAGACCAGCTAGACGACATCCAGCAGAACGCGCAGGCAGCCCAAGTCGAAACTCTGTCCATCTCGCCGCGCGACCCCGAAGAAGTGACACAGTATGCGCAGCAAGTCTTTGCGCAAATTATGCCGGCGATCCAATTCCACGACGAGCTGCTGCAGGACATTTCCCGGGCGATCAACAAGGTGCCGATCCTGCCGAAGATCATTGAGCAACTGGAGGAGCAGCTCTCCCTTTGGGTTTTCAGTATTATTGCTCCTTTCGTGATTCCGCTGATCGAGCAGATCAAGAATGAGTTGCAGACCGGGTCGAGCGAGATCATTGAGAGTTCCAAGAGGGAGCAGCATATCGTGTTCGAGGATGATGATTGCAGCGATCCGACGCACTCTATGCTGTCGAAGGATCATTTCACTAACGTACAGTTCTCTCTTTCTTCTTCCCCCTCTTCTTTCCCCACCTTACCCCCCCCCCTCCCTCTTCTCCTCCTCCTCCTCCCGCCGGGGGCCCCTTCAAAACCACCACCACCTTTCCTCCCTACTATTTTAACAAAATGCTAACAACAAGCGCAGATCCTCAACGAAATAGCAGGCCGTACCGCCTCCAAAGTTGTCTCCTGGGTCGTCCCGCAAATCATGTCCGCCTGGGACGATGAAGACCTCGATGTCGATTCCCTCCTTAACAAAATCATCTACGGCGTCCTCCACCACCCTGCCCAGCGCGACATGGGCCCCGACGGCGCTGAAGAGGGCCGCCAGCTCATCTTCGAGTCCATCCGCACCTGGTGGGAGGACGAGCTCTCCGAGTCGCAGCGCGAGGAGTACCGGCGCAAGCTTTCCCGCGAGGGCGTAGAGAATGGGGAGAACCATAAGGAAGGGCAGAAGGACTGCGGACATGGCTGTGGTGGGAAGTTGAAGATGAAAAAGAATTATCGGAATGAGGCTCCCCAGACTGTTGAAGATAAGATTGCAGGGGCCGCGGCGGGGGCTATTGTGGATGGGCTAAAAATGAGTGTTGCGGATGTCGCACAGGGGAAGATTACATCTGGTGGGACGGGGAGCGGGTTTGGGAGCTTTTTGAGCAGTCTTACTGATAATATCTTGTCGGCTGGATCTAAGAGATTCAAGGAGGAGTTGGGCAGATTCGGAAAGGGCGAGGAGGAGGAGGAGGAGGAGGAGAAGCCTAGCTACTCTAGCGGTGGCTACGGCGGCTCGAGCAGCGGCTATGGAAGGAAGAATGATGATGAGGAGGAGGACGAAGAGGAACGTCCTTCCTACGGAGGCTACGGACGTCGTCGCGACGACGAGGAAGAAGACCGCCCTAGCTATGGCGGCGGCTACGGCGGCGGCTACGGTCGTCGTGACGACGACGACGATGAGGAGCGTCCCTCTTATGGCGGTGGTTATGACGGTGGCTATGGTGGTTATCACCGGCGCCGTGACGATGATGAGGAAGAGGAGGAGCGTCCCACCTATGGCGGCGGCTATGGCGGTTACTACCGTCGCAGGGATGATGATGAAGATGAGGGATATGGCGGCGGCCGTCACCACGGATGGGGTTATTAGGTGTCCCAGATTGCGGAGCGGTTTGAGTGATTTGGACCTGGGGGCAGGTGTGGGTTGTTTCTTGCTGCCATATACCCGTCTCCATCGTGATGAGATGTTTTGGAGGGGGGAAGGAGGGTTAGTAGGAAGCGGGAGGTGAAGTTAGGGGGGGAGGGTTTGTTAGTTTGTCTAAGTGTTTTTTTTTTTTTTCGATGGTTATTATATAGGCTACCCAGGTAGTGTTCTATGGTAGTCTTGAGTTTGAGCAGACGAAAATACCCTCTTTAAGAGTAGTGTTTACGGTTCCTCGCTTATGAAGTGTTTCTCCTGAGATGTTATCCCGCCGTAGCGAGACGGCTGTTATGCCACGTCCAAAGCCCTGTCTCTGTGACTGTTATATACCCATATTGTTCCGCCGGCGGCACTTACACATCCCCCCAGAAAACACAAACCCCAGATATCTATCTCCCCATACAGCAAATTAACCCGGCACGCGGCTCAAAACCGCAGCCTTGGCCATGTCCCTTGTCCCCTCCGCACTTCGGCCCCGCGTTTGCTTTTTTGTTCCCCAGAGTGTTTCTTTCCCACCACTCGGCTCTCCCCATGCGGGGCGTCAATATACCGGATCAACAATACCGCTGGCACATCCCTGGGGAAAGTGGTGCCGACCGGGCGGGAAGCAAAAGCAAGGCTTGTTATGTTTATGCCTTCAAGCGGTTGATGACGTCCTGTTCGCATATATATGCACCGCATGTGGTGATGCCTGGTGGGAGGATACCTCCGAAAAGCCCCGTTCACATATATATATATATATATATATATATATTATAGGGTCTCGAAGTGCCAAAATGGCCGCATCAGAGCTTCTCTCTCTCGGAGACCCTTCCGGAGAGGTAATGCACGCAATCTGGGTGAACATTGTTGTGTGGGTTACGGGTTTCTAATTCCCGGAGGGATAGCTTTGCGATCCATGAATGAAATGAACTAGCATCTGGGGTAAGAAGAAGCATCATATCCGGGATCGCAGCAGCCGAACGAAGGCTGGAGAGGTTTGGGTATATGTCTATATGTATATATATATATATATATATATTTCCTTTTCCTTGCCCATCTCATCATTTCTGTCCTGGTGATCTCATCCAAAGCCAGTACCGTAAATCATCAGCATCAGGCTCTGTTTTTTTTCCCTCTCCCCTATTTCCCCTGGCCACCCATCATGCATCTCTCTCAGCTTGCCCTCCCCTTGCTCCTCGCTGCGGGTGCTCACGCCCAAGGTGCCCAAGGCACCGGCAGAACAACCCGCTACTGGGATTGCTGTAAGCCCTCATGCGCCTGGCCCGGAAAGTCCAACGCCCTGCAACCAGTGCAAACTTGCAATGCGCAGGACCAGCCCCTGAACGATGGGGGCAACACGCGCTCCGGCTGCGACTCGGGCGGCAGCGCTTTCATGTGCTCAAACCAATCGCCCTGGGCGCTGAACGAGACACTCTCGTACGGCTGGGCGGCGGTTAGGATCGCGGGCCAGAGTGAATTCAACTGGTGCTGTGCGTGTTATGAATTGACTTTTACCAGTGGGCCGGTGGCGGGGAAGAAGATGATTGTGCAAGCGACGAATACGGGCGGGGATTTGGGGAGTAATCATTTTGATATTGCTGTGAGTGGTTCTTGATCAATAGGAGGTCTTGTTTACTTGATTGAGTGGGAGAACTGATGTACCCCCGACTTGGCAGATCCCTGGTGGTGGTGTTGGTATCTTCAATGGTAAGCCGCAGCTAGCCCCTAACCTTATCTCTTCAAATTCCCCCCCCCCCCCAATCCTCTCCTCTTCCCTCATCTTCCCTTCCCTTCTCTTTTGATAGAACATTATACTAACTTCTATATCCCAGCCTGCACCCAACAATACGGCGCCCCTCCAAACGGCTGGGGTGAGCGGTACGGCGGGATCCGCTCGCGCAGCGAGTGCGACAGCTTCCCCGAGGCGCTCAAAGCCGGCTGCTACTGGCGTTTCGACTGGTTCCTGGGTGCCGACAACCCGGACGTCTCTTTCAAGCAGGTGGCTTGCCCGGCAGCCATCACGGCCAAGAGCAAGTGCGTGCGACAGCGGGATGTCATCGACCAGACGCCGACTGGACCGGAGATTGTCCCGACTTGGACTCCCTAAGGTTGTTAACTGGGCATCAAAATAGAGGGTTGAGTTTGGTGTGAGTAAGGGATGCAGATGAGAGTAGAGGGAGAGAGAGAGAAGAGAGAGAGAAGACGGAGAGAGAAGAGCGGGAGAAAGAGAGAGAGAGAGAGAGAGAGAGAGAGAGAGAGAGAGAGAGAGAGAGAGAGAGAGAGAGAGAGAGAGAGAGAGAGAGAGAGAGAGAGAGAGAGAGAGAGAGAGAGAGAGAGAGAGAGAGAGAGAGAGAGTAGTAGTAGTAGTAGTAGTAGTACGTACGTACGTACGTACGTACGTACGTACGTACGTACGTACGTACGTACGTACGTACGTACGTACGTACGTACGT